GTCTTTGTTTTCAGTAACAAACTAATTACATTTTTGTGGTCAAAAGTCAAAGTCAGCGAGGTTGCCTCATGCTTGTGAATCTGACTGGTTGGCGGAGGCATACAACCGTGAAGCGGTAATTCTAGTTCCCTCTGCCACATCTAATGAAGCGTAATGTTTCTCCACAGAAGGCTGTTTAAAATCACACATATCCCATTATTTTCTGTTTTTACTGATATGTATTGTGACTAGTGTTGCACGATATACCGGTGCTAGTATGGTACCGCGGTACTGAGGCATTTAAAATGGTACTATACTGCATTTGGACGGTACCGGTACTTGCAGCGCCGCCGGCTGTGCCCGCCCGCAACAGAGGAAAACAGAGCAGGAAACAGCTTCCTCGTCCTCTGCTCACTGAGCAGCGTGGACTGGAGCAACAAACGGAGCAGGAGGAAAGCTTGGAGATAGCAGAGACGTTGGAGAGGGAGAGGGATAGAGCGAGAGAGCGAGAGAGAGGAGCACGGAGAGGAGAATGGCTGCTGTAACAGTCACCACCCCGCAACTTGTGGACAAACGAGGGGCGCGAAGTGCTATATGGCAGTACTTCGGCATAAAAACAAATGAGCAAGGAGAGGCATTTAACGTTGATGCGCCATTGTGTAAACGATGTTTTAAAACATGCATGGCTAAGGGCGGAAACACCCAGACCTGCACACTGAGTTCAGGGAACGACAGGTAATTTACTCATGACATGTGCCCTTTTCAAATGCAATAGTTCAATAGTTTTAAGTGTGCAACACATGATAAAGAGTTCTTATCAAACATAGAAATTTTTTTTCTAAATTTTAATAAAAAAATGTGTTTTTTCAAAACGTTAAATGTGGTTACAGCACAGTCGTTCAGTGTTTTACATACATATTTAGCCATTTAATATGTTATAAAGACTGGTAACATACCATTTAAAAACACTGGTCCTACTTAAGACAGGCTATATGTAATGAAAATATTTTTTTCTAAGTTAGAACTTCTAACTTCATACTTTTTATTTACTCACACTGACTGTTCTAAAAAAAAATTTTTTTTGAGTGCAATAAGAAAAGCCTAGTATTTTGAATTTTATTTTGATGTTATTCTAAGATTTTCTATTAAAATAAAGTCAGTAATGACATTTTTTGCGTTCTCTTTTTATCTGAAAAACTATCCAAAAGTATCGAAAGTATCGAAATACATTTTGGTACCGGTACCGGTACCAAAATGTTGGTATCGTGACAACACTAATTGTGACTGATCAGGCTGCTTTTAGTTACGGTTTCACTTGTGCTCACTTAGGCGCCACTCCTGTCTTGCTTTCAGTGTGGATTGCCCAATAACGTAATTTGTGCAACGGTTTATTAGCATAGTTTCGCCAAAAACTGCTTGGTTCCTTCTAGCTTCACATGATCAGAAGCTTCTCCAAAAATGTTCAACAAATGTGAAATGCCTTCATCTCTCCACTGAACCCTGTTGTTGTTGTTGGTGCTGTCCTCTATGTTCATTTTTACTGCTTTATGGGGGACTGACACTGAATGATGATGACAGGCAATATGGTTGTGTGCAGAGGAGTGAGACGTTGGGGGAAAAAAAAACAAAAACCACATGGTCGTATGGTCAAATATCAGATCTAGGACTACATATGATTTGGTTTGTTCACACATCTGTGACTAGAACTGATCTGAGTCACATAAAGGGGAAAAATCAAATTTGAATCACTTCAGCCTGTAGCCTGATATTTTTTTAAATGTTTTTTTTTTTTTTTTGGTGTTTTCCCAGGGTGAGAGGAAATGCCTGACATTCTACCTGCCTAAGCTGATCATTGTAGGTCTCCTGTGGCTCTCAGCAGTTACACTGGGCATATGGCAAACGTAAGTCTGACCTCATTGGCCACAACGTTCCTGATTCAAACTGTGAATTTTATACCAAGACTTAAACTATTGATTCTCTTTTCCTGGATTTGCAGTGTCAATGAACTCCAGGATCCCACCTATCAATATAAAGTGGATATAGTGAATTTTCAGGTGAGACTCTTGCATTTAATGTTTAGGCAACACCCCAGTCCAGCAATACAATAAAGTTCCATGCAATTTCTGCAGGGTATGAAGATCTTCTTCCTGATTGTAGTTGCCCTTTACATCCTCTACCTGATTTTCCTGATTGTCAGAGCTTGCTCTGAACTCAAGAACATGCCTTACTCAGGTATCACAGCACAGCACACCTGTGTATTTGATGCAGCGTCAGCTTTTACTAGGACAGCTTTAATGTGCTGTGTTTTTGACCATTAGATCTCCGACTGAAGTTTTTGACAGCGCTGACATTTGTCGTCCTTGTCATAAGGTGTGTGTTTGTTTTTTTTTTTTTTTTTTTGTTTTTTTTAATTGAAAGCACTGAGAATTTTATTTAATTTGGTCTTGCTCTTATCCCTCTTTCTCCTCCAGCATGGTCATTCTCTACCTGAGGTTTGGTGCCAAGGCTCTTCAAGACAATTTTGTGGCAGAATTGTCCACTCATTACCAAAACTATATCCTTGGAACTGAACATTTTTAACCACTTTCACTGTACCATGTAAGATCACGTGTTTATGACTGAAATAGTGACAAATCATTCCTTAACACCAGACTTACCAGCTGAATTTTTATCCTTCTATGGCCTACTCAACTTTTACTTGTATACATTAGCATTTGTCTATTCCCCTGCCAAAAATGCTCTCTATGGTGAGTAATACAGCACAGCCGTTACTAATACTAAGTCTTCTCTCTTCTGCTGTAGATAATGAACTAGTCTAGCAACACACCTGTTGTTTTATTTCCCAGATTCCCAGTTGAAGGATAATCCTGCTTTCTCCATGCTGAATGACTCAGATGATGAAGTAATATACGGGTAAGTGTTTATCCACAGTAAACTCCGCATCATAACAGATATTTCAAGTGTATTGGACAGATTGTAGCATCAGCAGTTTAGCCAGCATTTTTAGTATTGTGTTAAGAATTAAATGTTGGATGTGAACTAGAAACTTACTGTATACTCAGCACAGTGGAAAGTGGTTAATGTGTGGCTGTGACCTTACAGTTTGGTAGGTTATAGTCAGTGTAAACATACTGTACATGAGCCGCTGATACTTTTCTGTCTTTGTAAAGAAGTGATTACGAAGACATGCCTTTACAAAATGGACACGCTATCAAAGCAACCACCAAATACCAGGATGAGAGTGATAGTGACTGATGGGTCTGCCCCTCTTCAGTCTCTCTGTTGGAAACCATGAGAATGCATTACAACAGACTATCATGTTTATGTGTAAATAAGGAGGCTTTGCATTGGTAAGATGACATGATATACTGCAAGTACACAAATTTATTTTTAAAAAAATATAAACTGTCTTCTGAATGTACTGTAATTTTACTTAAGGTTGAGGCATGTAGCCACTCACTCTTTTCTTGAATATGTTTTACAGTGTCATTGGAAACAAACCGATATAAAACGATACAATTTTACCAACTTGTAAAGATTTTTCCTCATAACAGCCTTTCTTCACATCATTGGGAAGAGTGCTAGTACTAACTGGGGATTTTTGTGCCAAATCAGTGGTATTTTTTAATGGCTTGTGCTGAACCACTGTTGTCTCCTTAAACTTGTATTGTGTTTTTGCCATTCCTTTATGCTCTTTGTCATTTTGAGAATAATGCACTTATGTGGCCAAAACTGAGTAACATGACACTGGTGGTAGAAAGCAGACGAAGCTCATGCTGCCACGGCTCACCAGCACTGTCATGATTCTTGTATGGGGAATTTAAGTGCCTAAAAAGTGTTGGCTGATGACAAATCCCCTTGGTCTTCAGACATATTCAGAGAGAGCCTTAACTGGAGCAGCTACCAGTGATCTCTTACCACTCCTCTGACCAGTTCTTCCTTTGTAAATGGACCTGTTTGAGAAATGTATTTATTTTGCTTAAAGGTTACAACATTTCATACTGTATTACCTGATGAGCTGGAAGGGTGGATTTTGATGAACCGCATGGGTATTAGATGACTATTTTAATGGACTACTGATCTGTTACATCAAAACATTTATTTTCTCAGCTCATTCAGTAGTTATACCGTACCACTGGCCAAACCTATGTTGACTATATTATTTTATGTAATTGCTTTTTTTTTTCTGCAAACCCTTCTATACTGCCGACAGTGTGAGACCTGCTGTCCTTCACTTTGTAAAACTGGAGCAAAACATGTTTCAGTTCTTTACAAATAATCTCTAATGAAGATGGTGCCTTGTCTTTACATCACTTTTCTTCTAAATGGGCTGCAGTCTGAAATTGTAAATGCTGTCACATAGATGAACATGTACTATTCTTTCAGTGTGAATGTAACTTATGTTGGTTCAAGGTGGTTAAATGAGGGTGTTGAAGGTACCTGCAATTTTTGTTGCTTCATGAGATAAAAGCTGTGCATGTAGCGTACTGTCACACCATGTAAATAAAGCAAAGTACACTACATACAGTTTTACATGTTTTAATCAACTTCCTAACATACAGTTTGTTCAACTATAACCAACATGGCCAAATATAACAGGCTGGTTCTCAAAATACACAAAATCCTGCACATTTTAAACACTTTTTGTTGTAGGTTCAGATAGCCAGCCCAAAAACATTAACAATACAATACATGGACTTGTTCTCCCATCTCACTGCACAGCTTCCTGTTGGGTAAAACACAAGATAAATTCAATGACAATACTGTCATTGAACGTTTACACATTTAAAATCTAGGTGAGGTTGCCAGTTTCTGACAGTTGACAACTCAAACGCGTGACTAAAGCATTTTTTAAGAGACAAGCTTGCTCAAGAGCACACTTATAGTTGCTAACAGAAGGGAAAAGGTTTATGAAATTCACACCTCTACTCCCTTGGGCTCTTTAAATAATTACCGTTTAGGACCACCTCTAAATAAAATGGTCTAAATCCTCTGCTCTGTTTATGCATTTACAAGACTGTCACGCAAACAGTTGTACTGTTGATGAAATAACTCTTGGGCCATATTCAAGATTATTCAGAAGCTGTATGTGCACAGAGGTGTTTCATTTACCATCAGTAGAGTTGTCCCAGAAGCATGCACTGGCTGTTTGCAGACCTGCTCCATTTTTCTGCATAATGATACAGTTTACTGTGGGAAAGTACACACACATGCACAAACGCTAACTTTTTAATAAACGTCAGAGTATAAGAACCATAAGCATAATATTTCTGAGGTATCACCAAGTACCAATATATTTGAAGGGCTTTCCCAGCTTGCCGAGTTGACCGAGGCACTGTTCCACTACACTGGTGCTCCACTGGTTCACCCGGTTGTGCTGGTAGGTGTTTCTTCCTATGGTTGCTTCTACTGACTACAGAGACAATTGTAACAAAGTTGTGTTTAGTTAATGAATAACTAACTGATCAACACAATTTTAATAGCCTTACAATGACAGAGATAGTGGGCTAACGTCATCAATCCATGCTAACTAGCAAAATGCTGTATAAATTTACGGTTAATTGACGTTATTTTATTTTAGGATGGGTAGAGTCAGCGGTGGAGATAATGCACACTCCATAGCAACCGTTAGGGCCCTTAGCAACTCATCATTTGCTAAACACAACATTGCTAGCTAGTGCTCGCAATGACCCAATTAAATCCAAACATTGTGGATACATTTAAAGGCATCAAAACACAATTTCTGCTTACCTCTTTTATTATTTTACTCACTTCTTCAACGACGAAAGCAGACTGTTAAGTAAGAAACAAAGAAAACGGTGTGAGAAACTGTCGTTTAAACTAGCCTTCTCAAACCAATTATCTGTCAGTTACAACCTCAGAAAAAAACCTTCAAAGATAGAATTATGCGGTAATATGTACGTGTTATTTTTTATGATACATTTCAAGCCATTACTATCTTAAGTTATAAAACCAACTTCTTCTTCTTCTGTCTGATAATCGTCCATGGTTACTGCCTTTGTGTCAAATGAATCGGGTTACTCCAGACTTCCTGTCATATTTCTTCAAAATAAAGGTGTCCTTTTTACAAAATAGTTATTAAGCAATCCTCGTAAAATAATTAATTCTTAGCTGGTTGAAAACATACCTAAGCAAAAATGTATAACCTCGGTCACATCATTTTCAATATTAAATTTTTTTTGAAAAAAAATCACTGGTTATAAAATGCTAAATTCATGCCTTAGTTAATCGATTAGCTGTTCAGTTCTTTGGTTTTTGCTAGTGTAAGGCCAACTATGCTAGCTAATGTCACTGACTGAAGTTACGTGAGTTTATATTAACGACAGGTGTGGGAGTTATCTGTGTGAGTAGAAATATATCATTTGCCACTAACTTTATCGAGTTAATGTCAAATTCTTTCGAGTAGATTGGTTTTAATGTAACCCAAATCATTAGCACCCTTCCAAAAGAATAGGTAACATTACTGCTAACGGGGTAAAGCAGACATTAACTACATGTGGTATGTTAACTCAACGATTGATTGTTTATTCCCTTTAGCCTTTACACTACATTAACCTTGGTTTGTGTTTGTGGTTCAAATTCAAGTTCACGTAAAAGTTGTAATTTGCTTAGTTTGTTTACACGTTTGTGCTCACAATGAGAGCAAATTTAAAATCAATATATCAGTTTCAATATGTTTTAAAAGTTGCCATTAACCTCGAGTTATGCATGGATTACACTGCTTTTCTTTTGAAAGCAATAATACCAGAAGTAGAAAGAAAGCCGCTACTAACTTAATGGACTGGATGGTCTGTACACATATAGATGTTTTAATTGTACAAAACTAGGCCTCCCCGTGATGTTTTAATATTGTGGCGACCCTGACCGGCCGCTGATGTTCCTGTGTTCTGTTGTGTGCAAATTGGTTTGACACTGTTGTGAAAGCTGTGCATGTATTGGTTACCGCTGTTTTTCTGCGAAATGCCGTGCTGTTCTGGCCAATGTGGGATGGGTGGAGGAACAGGTGCGGGAGGGTATAAGAGGGATGACAGGTGGGCGTGTTGGTTTGGTTCTGTTGGCGGGCGATGGTGAAGTTCTGGGAGACGTGTTTATTTTTTTTAATTTTCTTGAGAGAGCACATGGTGCCAGTTCGAACAGCGTTTTCATTTATCTCCATACTGCGTTCAATAAAACCACAAAAAGACAAATCAGGTGCTCTCCTCCTTGTTGAGCCAGGTGCCTAACTGTCAAGTATAGGACAGGGTCAGGCTAGCTCCTCTCAACCGAGCCAGCGGTCATCACAATATGTTTTACACATTTCCTCTGATTTGCATGGGTTCTACGGTACCGGGACTGAAATGCGTGCTTTAGTAATGTGCAGGTGAGTGGTTAATACTGGTTGACGTTTTAAAACTGAAAGCAGTTTTCTGATTTGTCACAAGAGGGAGACAGCGCTCAATTTACTTTGGCGAAAGTAAAAGGTAAACTCGTGTAGCGCGGTTATTTTCATCCACACACACGATCCTGGTATAGAAACTCTCAAACTTGTATTTTAACCCAACAAACAAACTGTTCTACTACTGTATAAGTGATGTACTACTATACTATATACTATACATATAAAGACATCTTTCGTAGTGATCGCCTATTGGGTAGCCGCAGATCACGTGACCAGAAATAGCGTTAGCTGACCCGAATTGTGCAGTCGTGTTGTTTTTGGTGCCAGTTAGTTGTACAACATCAGTTTCAGCTTGGTGTTTCTAGTTATCGAAATGATGTCGAACCATGAGTGAAAGTGACAGCAGTGACATCACTGCATTCCTTCTCGGCCTTTTGTCTAAGATCAAGTGTAGTTTCTGTTCTTATCAGTTTAATATCTGATATGTCTTCTATTCGGGGACCATATATTAAATTGATTCTTAGAACAAGGAAATGGAATAGGGTCTTGCTTCGTCCACTCCACGCATCGACCTGGTGTTTACAGAATTTCCAGGACCGGTACACTCACTCTATATATGTGAAAAAATTAAACAGCAACTTGATCATTAAAGATTTTATTGTCAGTTCACTGTATGTGCAAGACAAAAAAAACGAAATGCCGTTTCTCTTTCACTTAGTATTGCCATACCATTTAGGAAACTAAAATAGAATAAAAGTAAGGTAAAAATAGAATAAAAAAAATAAAACTAAATCAAAGTGATTAGGATAAAACTAAACAGTACAAAGGCTATGATATCTAACTGATATCTGGTCTCTAATAGTTAGAAAAACCTCTTAAAGCCAGTTGTAATGCAGATCCAGCAAGACAGATTCATGTCACAAGACTTTAAGACAGTATGCTTTACATGAAATTTCACACATGGACTACAGAGTAGCCTACCTCTTTCCAGCTTCATTGATCTGATTTTACTATTTCTGTTATGAATGAACAAATATTACTTCTACCAGGTTTAAATCTATAAATTGCATTTAACAATACTCTTTTGCAGTATGTTGTCATATGGCATACCAATGACATGATAAAATACTGCTTTTGTTCCAGATATGTTGGAATAGTTGTAATCAAATCTGTAAGACATGAAACTAAGATTTTATAGTTTGGACTAAGTTTAAGAAACAAACTGTGTATTTAACAAATTTAATAACTGGCACAAGTGAAAGACATCACAAATTAATCCAACGTGCAAGAACAAGGTAACAAAATAAACAAGTGTTCTTTTTCAGTCTCCAATTAAAACATTGCAAACGATGTTCATGTAAAGACAAACTCTTAAGCGGTCTGTAGTCCAAGGACAGAGTTCTTTGAAATAGCTTAATCTTATTTCTGTGTGATGGGGAATGAATTTTGGTCCATTAATTCACCAACTCTCTCCTGGAGGGTGTGCACCACCTCTGCCAGGATAAAAAGGTGTGTGTCGTCAAGGTCCTTGAGGATGAACTTCTTTCCCAAGGTCATTGTTTCATCCAGGTAGAGGAGGAACTGTTTCATGGCAGGATCACTGGTTTATTGAGCAGAGAGAAGCAAGGTGGAGACTGCAATGTAGGTCATTACATTCAACACAACGTGCCTAATTATTTTATCTACGTGTAACACGTGTTAGCGTCAGTAGAGGAACATCATATTCATCAGATGACTTGATTAGGTTACAAATATGTCAGGGCAGCTTTGCTTACCATTCCACAAGGACACCTTTGTGTACGTTGACCATGTTGACAGGTGCCGAGAAATCCGCAGTAGAATCAAACTGAAATGTTCAAAACCTGCAACATAATGAACACGGATGTGACTTCCTGGCATTAAATTAGTGTGTTAACGTGGCGGTCTCCAAACCCAGGATAGTATCGGTACAGTATAGACGTTAAGAGAAATAATAAAAGTCATGCATGCTTGGGTCTCGGCACTATTTAATACAAGTTAGTGTTACAACCTAAAAACCTTTGAGGTTAGCATGGTTAGCTTGCAAGCGCTAATTTTTGATTAGTGTCAAGTCCTGTGACTTTGTGCCGACTTCTCCGATTTTCAAAAACACCACGAGCTACGATTAATAGTTTAAACGTTTATATACGCGTATTGATACTACACAATTTAGTAATGACAAGAGATAGACATTCACAGACCTGATCTTATTTACGAAGCGTTGTGAACTACTGCGCGATGGCCTACGGTATCTGTCGAGGGACAATCTTTTGCAAGCCGCCCCTCCGTGTATATTTATGCCACTCAATCTCTATTTACTAAATAAATGGTAGAATATAGGGGTACGTCCTAAGGATAAAATCTATCAACGGTATATGAAACTTTAAACGCGTAATTATTTCACAAATTGGCATTAGAAAAGTGGCGTTTTTGAAAAATATATTCTGAAACGGAATTGATAAAATAGCCCAACGGGAATCTCTTTTTTGACCCACTCAGTGAATCAAACAGGTGACAGGAAGGTACACTACACTGTCACATTAATGCAGAAATCACATAAGGATCCACTATTAACATAAAGTGGACCTGCTCAGCTCACAACATTGCCCACTGCAGTCCAGTACAGAGAAGAGACATACAGGAAAAAATACCACAGGTGTAACAAAAATTTTATATAGAGCTTTATAGTGCACCCAAACCTCACTGTCTTCATTTTTCCACTTGTCACATTGACAGGAAAAGCAGGAGTATGCACATTTAAAAACAGTTGTCAAATAAATACAATTAGATGACATTGCAAAGCAGCTCTGTGATGGAAGTGAAGCAGTGCAACACAGATGTGTTGGATTAAGTTAACAAAATCATACATTTACTCATTGACAGCACTGCTAGTAGAAATGTAGACCATTAAACACTTGGAGTAAAAGACAACCCAAAATAATTAAAGCAACTTGAACAAATAATTATTACACAGGTTCATTTGAGGTAAGGTCCAGTAATTAGAATATATTTTGGCACCAAATATGACAGTTATAATAAAAATACATAAATATAAAAATAAATTCTTAAACTATTGCGCTGGTCAAAAATCAGAGAAGCAAGACTGGAAAGTTAGTGCATTCTTAAGTAAAACCATATCTACATTATGTGCCATATGTTAGGCTGCTAAGGTCAAACACAAAATAGTGCCAAATAAACTTTTATCTGTTTTAAAAATTCAAATATCTTTAAATTTAATCTGTCTTAGTAGTGAGAGACCTATCTAGTAGAATGTTAAGCACCCAAATCTCTTTCATGATAAATGATATATCAATGTTTAAAATTAATTTAATTTCCCTAATTATACTATGATCAAAGTAGTGGGTGTTTATGCATTTGTAGAAAAAAAGAGAGGAAAGTATGTTTCCATTTGGTGTGGGTGGGTGACAGTATAGAGTAGGTTTTATCAGTCAGTGGCTGTAGCAGCTCTGCAGTGCTTCTTGGATGAACTGGAGGCTGCGTTTGTACAGGAATGAGTCCTTCTTCTCTGGCTTGCAGATGTTGAGATGATCCGTGTCTACCTCGATGAGCTCCCCAATGCCGAGATCTGGAATGAAGTCAGAGCAGGCTCAAAGTAAGAGCTAAAGGAACAAGATTAGAAATGTACAGTGCTATTTTTGCTCATACATATATAAACTCAAATCACAGCTAAATGTCTTGCATGAATCAATGTTACATACTTGCTGATTGTGTTGGTACCACCAGTATCTTGATCATGGGACTAATGTTTGTTGGCAGCGTCTCTGCAAAGCTCAGCACCTTGAATTCTTTTTCTTTGGCTAGGTTCAAGAAGTTCTCATTCAGGTGACACAGTGCTGGTGAGTCTTAAACACACGGACAATAATTCAGAGTAGATATTTAACACTTTCTACAAAACACCATCAGTCTTAGACCTTAAGAGTTCATTTCACCAACTTACCTTTACAAAGTT